CCGACCCAACCAACTATGAAACTTATCAGCTTCCCGAAACCCACATTTGGGAACGTACTTTCACAAGCAGTCAGCACCCAACCGCTCTCATTGTGACAATGATAGACAGATTTTCTAACAAGTGAATCTTGTTTAAAAAGCTAATCACTTATGGTACTTGCAGATGTTAGCCATACCTGTTCTAGGATCATGTGACTTAATTGAAGCTGCGTGATTGTAGTTCAGGTGTAGTTTGTGCATATGTTCACTAGTGCTGGGAGTGATGTTGGGAACCCAATCTAAATAATTTAGGGTGGGTGGGATCATTGGGGGTGCTGGTGGGTCTGTCGGGGGTAGGGTTTGATGGGTTTGCATTTGTCCATCTAGGGGTGGAGGAGTCTGGGGGCAAAAAATAGTCCAATAAGGGTTGTGAAGGCCAGAGGAGTGCGGCCCCAGTTGCTTTCCCAGCCTCAGGGCTGCACTCTCAATGTGTGAAGAAGTTCAGCAGACTGGGCTTAAACTGTTCTTGATCTAACTTAGTTTGCTTCCTCAGGTGAACTAATTAAGATCAGGCTGGCCATTTTTTGCCAGAACTAACCTTCCTGAATGTCTGTAAAGATCAACACTTACATTGACTAACTAGGGCCAGGTTGATTTAAGTGGGACATCCCCACTTACCCATAAGGGTAGCGAAAATCCCACTAATTTCTATGGTGTCTGATCAAGCCCTTATTAAAGAGGCCTCTACTGGCAGTAGAAAAATCTGGTCCAATGTGTTTGTATATGTTTCTGTGTGTTAAGATGAAGCACCAGCACAAGCACAAATATTTCTTGCATAAAATATTCAACGCTGCATATTAAATATTTCAGAACAACCAGAAACTTCTATCAGTCACTTTAATTGACATAGGCTCCTTCAGTTCTGTTTTGTTTTGTTTTTTTAATTAAAACTTTTCATCTTCATAAAGGGGAAAAATAAAACAAAAAACAGGTGAATGTTTTTCCTGAATTCCCTTTCGTGGCAGTTGCTGCTTCTTGAAGTTTCTCTTTGTCTTATGGCCTGGAGTGAAAACTCCACTAACCTTTTGCCCATAGTTTATAGGTTTTACAACCTCTTATTCCTTCAGTGGCTCTTTTCCTACTGATAATTCACACTTCAGTAATACAAGAGCTCTCTTCCCTCTGGTCTTTCCACGGTACCCAATATTCTGTGATAAGAATAATTAGCAGTACCATTTCAAGTCACATGGATTCTGTAGGGGGTTGGTTAAGAAACAGGTCCATCTGCTTTGTTATAATGCTTTGGGTTCCATAAAGCCTAAATAGGTCTCAATCCTGCAATTGTAGATCCATAAATGTGGGTCTTTGTGCCTCTAAAGATTGCTATTGATTTCACTGGGGCTCCACAACTTGAGGTCTGAGTGTACTATTTATTAGCAGAGATAAAACTGAACTCATTTCTGATCCAAACAAAACAGTTACCTGCTATCTTGGAAGCTCTCCACTTTGTTTTGTTTGGCATTTGCGCCTAGCACAAAAGGGCTTGAGTCTCTATGTCTTTCCACACTGCAGTTAACAAAGGTTGATAAATGGTTATATATCATGTGTGTGAAGATATGAAGCCCACCTTGTCCTGTTGAACAGCGGATTACTCCAGGTCAGCTGTCCTTTTCCTTTGCAAAATTGTTTGGGGAAGAATTGCTTGGGGACCTGTAGAAGGTTCATACCACACTGGAAGACAGTTCTGGGTTGCAACTCAAACTGAAGAGTCTTTGCATTGACTTGTATTCACCTATTTTTCTTTCTTGAAGTATTAACTATCCATCCTTGAAGATAAGAGGTGTGCTTCCTGCCATTGTGTCTTGCCACCAGTTTCTTTGCCTTGACCTGAAGCCCTGTCTTGGGAGAACCATCATATTTTTTTGGCTCTAGACAGTAAGTACACTGGGCAGTGGCTGCTGATTTGTAATGATGAGGATGTCTTTGCAGAGACCAAGGGTTGTCCTACATTTTGGAAGGTGGGGCTGTTCAGGGAAGAAAGCAAACAATGCCAGCAACAATAAGTACAGCTCATAGTAAGATCTATTCTCTCTCTCTCTCTCTGTTGTATTAATAATATAAAAATCATTAAGTTACTAATCCCTTCCTTAGCAGTAGACACCAAAGCAAAAAGGAGGTGAGTATTGAGATCCCACTTCAAGGTGGGGAAGCTGACAAAAGGAAGTTGTTTTTCACACGGTGTGTTATTCAAGTGTGGAGCTCATGGCCACAAGATGCTATGGAAGCTGACAGGTTAGCCACATTTAAAAAGGGATGAGAGAAATTCTTGGAGGTGCATCCATAGCTGTTGAGCACAGGAGTTGGGGGTACAGCCTCTGAATCGGAACTTCACAGACCTGGAGGCTGCAAGTGAGAGAAGAATAATGGGGAAAAAACCCTGGTCATTCCCTGTCCACGCTCCCTTTCAGCATCCGCGCTGCCACTGTCTGACAGAGTATACTGAGTAAGATGGACAGATGACCCAGTAAATGGCAGTTCTTGTGTTCTTAGAGAAGAGAGGCAGCACAACTAAGGAGAGTCAGTTGGTGGCGCAGCCTGGAATAGAAGTCCAAGTCTCCAA